GCACTCAAAACAGGCGTAGGGGAACGGCGCGTACTGGGCGCGGATCGCGGTGACGGCTGGCATTTAATTGTGGGCGAGGAGACAACACAAGCTGGTGTCTGCGAAGATTGTGGTCTGCCGGTAAATAGGGCCTGCCAGGGGTGCAAGCCACGAGGGGTCGGTGAGGAGGTGGAGGAGGAATGCTTGACCTTGAGACGCTGTGGCAGGCTGCGAAACACGCGACCTTGTCGGGAAAACTCATTCCGGCAACGCTGTGCGCGGCGTCCCAGCTCGGTGGTGGGAATGAGCCGTTGGGTGCATTGGCTGCCATCGGGTGTTTGCGGATCTTTCGAGGAGGTCGAGTCGTAAACACCAGCGGGCATTTGGGGCTCGATTTCATCAAACGGATCCTCTGTGGGATGAAAAAGCATTCACATGAGTGGTAGACCACCATTTTCCAAAGCAATGCTTTACTGAAATCTGGTTGTTGGTTATAAACTCATTGATTATGCTGGCAGATAGTCGCCATTCTAGTCTCCATCGTCTTTGTCGGTAATGTCATTCTGCCAATATATCCTTGATTATATAAATACACCACTTGAAATAAGTCAATAGAAGTGGAATGGCAGCATGTTTCCAAACGGCATTCGACTCTCAACACAGAATGTACACAACAATCTGCGCTTCTGCCGATGTGCGTCTTGCGACAGCTTGCAGTCACCAAAATATGCGCATAGAACGGCAGTTTCTAAATGTGCCAGCCGTAATGGCAAGGAGTATGAGCGTTCGAATATGTTTACAAAAACATTGACTTACTTAAATGGGGTCGGCCTGTTGCTGGAAGATTAAGGTATATTATTTCCTTTTATAATCCGAAAACACACAAAAGGAAGCCACAGAGAATAGTTAAACGCACACTGCGTGGCTGACATACAGACCTCAACCCGCTATGCATGAGGATATCCCCCGTCTTCTCTAAGCATCGCAACCGACGTCTTACACGCGCTGGCGTCCGCATTCAGGAGACGAGGAAAAAGCCAGGCGCTCAATTACATCCCCCAACCCTCTTCCCCACCCCGTAAACTGACGATCATATAAATGCTGCAATTAACTGAAAATTTTTATTATCCATGTCATTGCACCGGCCCGATGTTGAATGACTAAAAACAATCGTTTGCCAATATGACTTCTCAGTCTTAATAAGTACCAGATTCTCTTAACCCGATCACGCAGTAAGTGCATAAATAGAGGAAAACCCCTAGCTGCGATCCACAACAAAACGTCTCACCAATGAATTGACTCCATCTGATTTTTATTTCCTATAACGGTCTCACTCTCTTACTGATATAGAGGAAGGTCGGGCGATTTCAGTAAGGACTACCGAGGTTTACACTACGTTCACAAGTGGTTGAAATGGAGAAATAATAGTACACGGCATGAACGAGCAATACAAATTGGAAGGAGAACTGATGGTCAGGTAATCTGAATTCGATGATAGATGTAACAATAGATTGGCGGACAAACTATACTAAAGTTTTCAAGAAGTCCCAGTCTGCAAACTAGTAAACAATTTCCTCAAAGGCTAAATCGAATCCAAACTTGCTTGTTCGATTGAAAACGACTACTCAAATGCATTTGGAAAGCTGATTTTCTTGAATTCACGCCAGAACGTCGACATTTGTATCGTTTCGGTATTATGCAAAATGCAAACACGTAAACCATGTCCGAAGTATTATGTACATTTAGATTTTTACCGCCAGAATGCATCGTTATCTATTCGGCCTGACTTGTTTTTTTTTAAAAAACGGTTCAAACTGTTCGCCTAAGGAATATACGTGACAATGCTCAAGTTTGTGAAATTCTTGGCCCCAGAACATACTTTCGGATCCCACTGCATTTCAGGTGCTTCAATAATATAACCTGCTTTTAACTTACCATTCTCGGCGACCACGTTCTCCAGGTCATACATGTCGTCGTCGACTATATCAGGAAAGATCTCATCAGCGTAGGTAATGAGAAGCTCAATAACTCCACCGCGAGATCCAGCACATGTAAATGACTCAGATCTGCGTTACAAAGGGAAAATAAATCGTGTATGAACAGCTAAATCGACAGCAGTGGATTTTGAGTGAATAATTCACAGTCCTGATAGGTAAATGTAGAATTTCGATTGCAAAGACAGCGGAATTTATTGGATCCATAAATTTCAGGAGCGCTCAGCAGCAAGCACATGGCAAAGAGGCAAATCAATAAAGTAAGAAAATTAAAACATTGTGGGCAGCAAAAGGGTGGGGTAAAACGTCTATTTAAATACATCTGACAGTTCTGTGTCTACAGCACACGTCCTGTGTCAATAAAGACTCAAGATGACAGCAGGCGGGATCGGGGGCAAGTGGCTACCAGTGCGATAGCTACACCTAGGCATTAATCCCGAGTCTGGGTATTCATTAAAAGGATACAATGCTTGAATAAGCATTAGCAGCTGAAAGGTCTCTGATTAGCGTCAATACATACACAACTAGTTCATACTGCTCTAAATAAGAATACTAAAATGAAGGTGGAGGTAAGTAGGATTTAATGGGGGACTTTAATAGCCCCTTCTGATAAGTTTCTACTGGACTGCCACTTTTTTCGCAAACACTTACACAGACATCAATCCGTAGTAGAACCTGCCTCAGTCTCGTGGATACAGCTGGGTGCTCCGGGCTTCAAACATGTACTTACTGGGACTAGCCTAATCCGAGGTGCAGCGCCACTTCTAACTAATAATAGCGCCAGTGATAGTATCAGTACTACAATTACTCAGCTACACTCATAGTTAGCAGTAGTATAAGTAGCAGTAGTAGAAGTACCAGCCTTGGTTTTCTTGAGTCTGGCTTGGCATCTACCGAAGGTGAGTAAGGATAAATAGTGCGGTAGTACCAGCGCAAAAGACTACTGTTCCTTAAGACCAAGTTGGACAGTCTTTTGGCGTGCATTGGAGAAAGCGGCCTAGGCCTGATTCCATTCGGTCATATTCACTCTGTCTTGTCCCCGGTTCAAACGGGTTGACTGTTTAGACAATTGCGCGTTTATTTCACTTAAATCTCGCCTTTGACTCTAGCCACTGCCCCTGCTCCTGAGCACAGATTGGGACTATCATCATCAGTACGTGTTACGCAAAACCCCGCGCACACAATCGGGACAGATGCTCATGGGAGAAACTTCACTTAAATAACTCACACGCCATTGGATTTTGGAATAGTCGTATCTGGACTCGCGGATTTCAGGCGGATAAAATTTTGATGATTGTTAGCGGCGACAGCATCGGCCTTCGCAGATTCTCGATCATCGCGGACATCATTGTCTACAGTGAGCGGAGGCGAAAGTAGCGTTGGACCCAGAATGATGCCGAGATTCGTCGCAGTCATTCGATTTTTATCCGCGTTCTTCGCCAATTCTTGCAGAAAACGGAAGAGATACCCAGCATTCACGCGGGACGCCTCCGGCAACTTGGATGCGGTTTGACACAAGTGTGCAACTTGAAGATGTGTGCCGGATCTACATGATTTAGGAATTAATATGTGAACAACGGTAAACATTAAGGTACAACTGCAATTCATCCAATTAAATGTCTCAGATTAAAACCACTCGGGTATTGTTTTGTTATCTTCTTCATCAGTCCCGTTTAACGACCGTTTGTGACTGCATTAAAATCCGTATTAATTCGCATCACTCGGTGCACATGTCCTAGTAATAAGAAGCTCCTGCATTTCGGTTTGAATGTGTCATGATATCAGAAGACGCAGAATATAACCTTTAGTTCTCGTTACAACCTTTAGTCCTGCATGGCGAATATGAGGCTAATTTGTAGGAAATTGAAGCCAGAATACGATTTAAACCTATATAAGCTTCAGACAAATTAAGGTATGCGTTAAGTAAGATCTGATCCGGTGCATTTTTACAAAACATGCGAATTTTTTCAATCAAATATAATTCTTAAATAGTGACGATTAGTTATCAGATTCCTATCTCATGTAAAAACGCTGATAGCAATTTATCATGAATAAGGAAGGGGACGAGGTTGTGAATTAACATGCAGTTGTAATTTGTCCAATTTACTTTTTAAGACAAAGCCAAGCAATGCAGTGTCAAGTCTCGTCAATCCTGCTTCGATAATAGTTGAGACGTGAACGGAAAGTTTTGTGACACCATTACTTTCGGTTTAAAATCGCATTAATTAGCAAACTAAATTCGTGAAAGAATTTTGCAGTTATAAATAAGAAAAGATCATGCATTCGTCTGGGCGATAAGAAGACCGCACATTTCGTAAACAATTGGTTATAGTTTCATGAAATTTAGACTGGCACTTTTAGTTTCTGTTATCACATAGAAGGCCAGTTTGGTAGCAAATATGGCCAGAAAAGAGCTAACACCTGACCTATTGAGGCAGCTTTTATGCTAGATCTGCCCGGCGAGTTACTGCAAGACCTAAGCGTCGTATTCATGAAGTACTTCATTAATCAACACTAATGATAAGTATTCAAAATCGTAAGATATTCACAAGCCAATTTATCTTACTTCAATGCGTCTAAAATGTAAGCACGTCTGGGCGATGCAATGGCTCGTCTGACGAGGCATTTACTTAACATGCCAACTCGACTTAGGTGTAAATCTTTACATATACCCTATTCACAAGGGTGGATCGAGAACCAGAGCGAACAACTATCGAGCAGTGAGCTATCAAAAAGGCCACCATGAAGTTCCTCGAAGAAAAAGACTTCTTTGGCGGTACCCAACACGGGTTTCGGGGAAACCACTCCTGCCTGACCAATATGCTTGATTCTTAGACGAGAATACTCCCGTAGATGTTGTTTACATAGACTTTAAAAAAGCCTTCGATAGAATGGAGCAGTGGTCCAAGTCATTAGACGAGAACACCACCGTAGATGTCGTTTACATAGACTTTAAAAAAGCCTTCGATAGTGTCCCCTCAAACGGCTTACCTACAAGGTTGGCGAATCCGGGATAAGGGGCAATTTAATAAATTGGGAAGGAGATTTTCTCATAGGCCGATCGCAGTCCGTGTGCGTTGGAAATGCAAAATCCCCTTCAGTGCCGGTTGCGAGTGGACTGCCTCAGGGCCCCGTTCTTGGGCCATTATTGTTCCTAATCTACGTCAATGACTGTAGGCATGAACTGGTCAGCAATGGAGTCTTGTTTGCAGATGATACTAAGATATGGCAACCCATCAGAAACACTCATGATGAACAAACTCTGCAAGAA